TACAGACGCAAATCAAAACAGAGTCTTGACTACCCAAGTCTGTCGGCTAGTCGACCTTAGAAATTACGCCCACTTGAGTCAAATTATGTAATTCTGTGGGGAAATTATCACATAACTCAAACGTAAACCTTCTAGTCGGTAACGCAAATGGTCGTATTGACGGGTCTTGTGACACATGAACGGAACCACCAAACCTCCCCAAACCTGGGTTAAACTCGGTCGGATATTTTCACTAACATCTCTCTTCGCTTCACATACATGCACTAAACGGTCATGGGTAAAATGAACGAAGCTCAGCTATTGGATGAAATGAATGCCGAGAATCTGCTTGAGCTCTTCTTCCAAGACCACGAAATCCAACTGATGTGATGAACCGTCTATGAGATTGATCACCCTGATTGTGGACAAACCTTTCAGCGGGGGCATGAGACAGTTCCACATGCGCAAGACATCCTAGTCAGATCGCACACGAATTCCTGGGTACAGCTTCTCCTGAGTTTGGTCTATAGTGGCACCCGAGCCCAACTGAAAATCACCATCTCCTCACCATCCAATAAACTCTCTTGGCCGCAATTTATTGGTCCTTTCCGCTGATTGGTTGTTCTTAATCGAAGGGCATTGTATGACGACCGAGTGCATGCACCTTCGGAGAATGACAAGATTGAGCGAAATGATTCCGTCTGCCCCCTCTGGAGCAAAATCTGCCCCACGTCGGATATTGATCGCGGTCCTTCGGTTGATGCGCGGTGCAGAAATTTACAAGTTTCGTATATCGAACTGAAGACTCACCGAGGCTCCTCTACCCTACTCTACGCTACTGCACGCCACTCAAATACGCACTGATGATGTCACCTCGATTGGTGACAAAACATATGCAACCAAATTGCCAAGCTCAGCGAACAGTTCAACTGCCAGTTTCTTGTATCTTGTTAACAGGCTTAGCAGTTTTGTCAACTAAACTGGATACAACACACAGCTCTGCTTCAGTAGGCAACCGCATTGGCTGGATTTGGTGTGCAGCTGATGATGAACTTTGGTATATATCAAGACATGGTCTGAGCGCTAAATGCTGTTGCCGTAACCTCCGCTTGGTGATGTTTTCAGTATTGATTCCCAGCACGATTTTGTTTCGGATGAGATTGTCAGCCATACAATTGCAAAATTACAGGAACAAGCCAGGATCTTCAGCTTCGTAACATAGTTCTCGATAGTTTCGTTTGCGCACCGGTTTCTGGTGAAAATAAGACACCACTGGTACGACTCGTTGGTCTGGAGTTCATAAAAATCACCGGATTTTCGGATGACAGTTTCCAGCTCAGCTAGGTCCTTGTCTTTTTCGTGTAGCATCATTCCCAAAAAGCGACGTGCTTCCTCTCCTAGCGTATATCCAAAATAGCAAATCGATACGCCAGCTGTTCTTCATTCAGCTTCATTAGTACACAGAAAGCGATCCAATTACTTTTGCAGACCCTCCAATTATTGGCCAAATTATGTTCTTCCATTTTTAGTGAAACAGGTGGTCGCACAGCTGGTTGCCCTCCAATCAGCAACTAAGTACCATTGCGCGATCTTGTCTAGTTTTCTCTGATAACAAATCGAAGAACTCGATCCTTCAAGGACAAACCTTATTCGGCAAAGCAAGCTCAGTAAAAAGGACATTATGACAAGCAGGCAGGAACCTCGAGATAAATAACTAGCTATTCTCCGTAGCTAACGACGCCGCTGTACTCATGAGATTATTCCTTTGAATCAGTTACACAAACCCGCTCCAGCGAACCAATCATCGGGTATACGAAATATGCGTAGCTGTCCAATCTACTACTTTGTTCGCTTGCAGCACGCTATCAGCTTGATTACACAATCCAATCACCTATCCGTCATAAACCATTGCTTTATATTTTAATATCCGCAGTCACGTGCTTTTCATTTTCCGTCCGTTCCGTTAAGCTATGGCGTCGGATCTCCTTTGGCAGCGTTAATTCCTTGGAATAATAAGTTGAGGAACCGTGAGCCTAATGGAAGAGAAGAACGGGTTGGCTGTTCATGGATCTTCCACGGTCAGTATATGTTCCTTTAGGTGTCAGCCAACAAATTACTGAAAATCTGAGCAATACTGGTAACGGGCAACAGACAACTAAGCAGACAGCCATACAGTAACGTAATGGCAATACTAATAAAAGATTAATAACATGCAACAAAGCATTACTCTTTGGTAGATTTTGTGCTGTGTAATTTTGTTACTATGCGGGTTAATTAGATGAGTTCTTTCAAAAGTTTAAGTAACGGATATACGCGAAAAGATGCAAGGATGGGTAGGAAGCCTGGTTACTGCAAAGTGTGTAAGACATTTTTTAAGCAAATATACTTGAAATCATTGTATACAAGGCTAAGACGCTGTGTCGCTTAGTGTGTTTAATCCGTCCTAAATGGCTAGAAGATGGCTTCTTTAGACTGATTCATGGAAACAGTTGGTGAGGCTGGACACCCGCTTACAGCAAGTAGTCGTAGGCGTTGTGGGATCTAAAGGGTACTTGGGCGTCAGTGTATACGAGGCCAAGGCGCTGCGTTGAGAAGTGTGATTCAGTTATCCTAGATTTCTGAGAGAAGCCAGCAATTAGAGGATGATTAGTAAAAGCAAGCGGTTAGACTGGACGACCTCTTACGGCAAACTGAATGGTCATTTAATGATGTGAAACCTAAGGGAACACCCGTGGATACGGAACAAAGACTCTGCGTCGCGCAAGGTTTATCAATCGTCTCATCATGTTAGGAGGCGAAACCTAATGCAAGTTTAATGATGGAAAGCAGCTGATAGCCAGTTTACGCCGGTTTACAGCGAAGTGTCAAAGGGTTTGAAGCAAGGAGGATGCTTGAGCAACAATATATGCGATGCTAAAGCCCTGCGTCGCACAGGATGATTCAGTAGTCTTGATTTGCTAAGAGTACAAATGGAATACAGTATGGGGATGACTAAAATTACTCTTGCATGATTAAGCTTACAAGTATTTGATAAAATAGCAGATATAAAATTGTGCTTAAAGACAGCTTTTAAACACATTCAAACCGGGTCAGTTACAAGCACATGCTTAATCAGTCCGGTTGCTTTATATAACAACAACATGGTGAAAATGCCCTAATGTTAGCATTTGAATTATTACCTGTCTCCAGTGAAAACCATTACAGTCTTTACATTCATAAATACTACATTATTGGACCAGCAATTTACGTTTGCTTGTTTTTTGTATCTCCAAATATAAAAAATTGTTAATAATGAGTTTATCCAAGCTGGTCTATAATGCTCATGAATGCAATCAAGCTAGTGAGTACGATACAACACTAACCAGGTCCACATGCCTTGTACGGCATTGGCGGTAATAAACGGGACAACCTTCAACATTTGGAGTTACTTCAGGCATATATAGACCTAATTCTTCGTAGAACCACCACAATAGGTGCAATACGCGGGTCTTTAACTACTTACTTATCTCTGCATAGAATTTTCAGAAAACCGACGCCAACCTACAAACAAAGAGAAGCAAAGCGAAGGATTAATTTTATTTTTGTTGTCTAAGAGTGCGTGTCATATGTTGTAACAACCTGATTAATATTCATCCAACATATCCACCGCCTTCAGACATATTTTTAGGAGTGCTAACTTTCCCATCGCTGCCAGCATAAGAGTTGTATGGTGAATTTTAACTGTGTCACTGTCTAATGGAAAGCTATCGAATAATGCTATAAAACTTACACCTCTACTAAAAAGCGTCGTCTCAACTTAGCAGTAGCAAATTCGTCAGCTATTTACTCTTCAATAATTTAACGCGTAAAAGTAATCAAGTTACATTTTATTTTTATACCTAGTCAAAATGACGAAATATCACAGCTTAGCATCGCATCCCCGATTTGCTTAGAGCATCTTGTTTTGAGATTCCGCAAGATAACCTCCGTAAAAGTGGAGGGTTTAGATTTGGCTCTCTCCCCTCCCTGCACTCCGCGAGCGACGGTTTTCTCCTGATTTGGACTCATCAGCTAGGAATGGGTAGAATTGTGGGCTGAAATGGTTTCGTAGTGGTTGACCGTTATCATCATAGTCACTAGACTATTGAGCAATGCAAACATAGCTTGTCACACCGAACCACTTCGCTTCGTTGGAATACAGTCCCGGTGATGACAATCGCATGGGTTGCATTCAAAGTCAACTGAAGCCACAATTGTATTTGCTTGTCGCAATGCAAGACACACGAAGCTACAGAAAAACCCGACCCTGACCTGCTAAGCACACTATCAAGTGCTTTTGAGGAGCTCAATATTAAAGTTGGCATAGAGATTGCCGCCATCTAGGCTGTGCCGAGTTCTATTCCCAATTCAGGCTGTCATTAACTGATGAGTCCTAAACAGGACGAAACCGTCAGTCTTGGAGTGCAACGGTTAGATAGTGCACCATCCAATTTATACACTGCTCGGTTACCGTGCTAGTGATCGAAATCGCACAGTCTGACTTCAAAGTATACCGAAGCCACAATTGTGATTGAGAGTCCCAATCCAATAGACCCTGAACGTACTTCCAAACCCGAACATCAACATCCGTTCAAATTGTGATAGTACGGATTGTTATAGTTTGGTAGTGGTCTAGCTATCAATAAAAAAGTATTCAACCATGTAAGATTAGCGTTCTATTTGTAATTTATGGTGAAATTACAAAGACGACCACTACCAACCGCTTGACGGCATTCACATATTTTTGCCTACGCTGGATGTTATTTCACATGACTGGCTATTTGTCTGAACACTTATCTTCTCACGTGCTTGATGTGTTACGTGCAAACATTACGCAAGCTAATAAGTTTACGTGTTAGTGATGTTATATTAGCTAAAGTGGCAAACTGCTAAGTAAATGGCAACGCCCTCTCATGTTTAGTGAACGTCAGCACATAAGCAGCACTTGCAGGAGTAGTATAAAAACAACTGCGTCATCTTTTGGCACTTGCGTTCATAGTACCATGCAACTCACTCTGCAGGATCTATTTTCCATTTCTATCTTACTACGCGTTAGCATAATCATTTCCAACATATGCACAGGTAAGTAAGATAGTTCCTCCTATCGTACGCAATTTGTGGTAGTTTGTCACGTATTTATCTGGTGGTTCTGGACAGCAGGTATACTTATTATTAACTCTTGGTAGGATGTTGATCTCATAGAAACTAACCTGCCCTATCTATCAGTTGGAGTGTACCCTTAAACCTAGGCGGGCGATTTTGTAACCGTCGTTTAGTTAATCGCAACCCAAACCTGAGTTTGAGCGGAATTTGTTGTGAAGTGAACGGTGCACAATTTGTCCGCTGGAACTCTGTCTGTGAATGCTTGATACTGTAGGCCATGTGCTAACAACCCAGAATTCCACGCTAGACTTAATATACGATGGTTTGAAGAGCAAGCAATTCACACATTGCCTAAAAGGAATTGACTGGTTGTTTAGTAATATGCGGAATAAAAACTGAAGATATGGTAATGGAATTTTGCTTATTTTGGTACACTTATTTGTATGAAATCATTCAGCGTTGGTAAATCAATTAGAGGCAGCCGTTGTTTAATTAGCGTTCTAAGCTGAATTAACTACACACCAACGGAAGTCGGTTACGCCAAGTAAATGTATCCAGCGTTAGCGGATTTTGAGTGTTTCCTCCGCAAAATTGCATAGCATCACCGATGTGTTACTTATGTGCATTCGATAACTAGAAAAGTTAGGAGGGCTGTACGTTAAGTAAGTACCCATTTCGGCCACCGAGCAGCTAACAAAACGTGTATCCGCAGTTAAGTACCGATTGGGTATTTGTCCATCACTCGTTTATGTAGGACAAGGGATTCACACTGCAATCATGCTATTTTTATCTGATAAGTGAACGGTCATGTAGTGCAGTGTTTTCGAGCGGGTGAAATCCAAAATACTTCGGATTCATCAAATACGGTCCCAGGGCTCGCACTGGACAAAGCTACAGTTTAATGTGCATAACGGTCTATATTCAGACGGAGCAACGGAGTCCATACAGGTAACACATGCATTAAGATGAAAAGTCATGTCATTGACCGATGTGATAAGCGTTGCTGGAAGCGAAAAGAAAGCATATGCGTAGAGATTTCGACTGATATTCCAATGTTAAGTAATTTGAATATGTTAGCGCAGGAGCGTGCAGGCAGTAGTAAAGTAGTTAGCAGATAAAGAAGATGGGATTTTTGCTGCATTTGTCAACATCGTTGGTAGAAAATAAGGAATAACGTAGGCCCTGCTTTCAGTTCCATAAATGAAACCACTGGTAATTGGGTGTGTTGCAAGTTGGTTGCTAAATCGGCCGGTGATGGGCAAATGTTTGCTTGGGATTGATATAGCGACTTGAGATGACATGCATCTTTTGCAGTGGTCAAGCTAGCAGTTGGTTTCTTGCTATAAACACATTTAACAAAAGTAGTGCTAAGTCAGGTGAATTCATTCCAATGGCTGACGAACGGATATCGTCTGAGTCCATCCTGGTAGAACTTGTGATAACGCTTTTAGTTGCTGAACGCTGCTGAGAAACTTTCGGATATTACATAAGCTTCTGGTCGTTATCGATTCATGGCCAAAAACTATAGAGTCATATACAACAGTTATATAGAGAGCAAAGTTGGTTCTAAACACTTCATAAAAAGCATAAGGTTCACCAAAGTGTTTATCAGGTTCAATCTGGTGTCCAGTGATCGGGAAGGATCCGTTGTTGATTCTACGACGAGTAATTGCCATGCGTTTATTTGTTAGTAACGCATATTTCTCGAATCTCGCAAAATGTCTGAAGCTTACTCCGGCTTAACCTCTGAAATACTATCTGCGTAGGACGACTCAGACAGCGCGAGTACAAAAACCCATTTCCAGTGAACCGATGAAAAGCTATAGTGAAAAAGCTGAGCACTAATCGGGAGATTGATGAATCTAGTGCACAAAATGTTTTGAAATTAATGAATTATATTCAAAAACAATAAAGAATATATATGTATAGCATATTACGCAACGTTGCATAATAGGGCCAAAATTTTGCAAAGAAACTTCAAATGTTTGCAAACTCCAAAATGTTGCAAAACCCTGTGCAATTCGCCAGCCAATCTGAGCCAATCTTCTGACCTTAAGTGTGTTCTCATTGGCCGGATGCCAAGGTTCGATGCGTTAGTCTGGGGAGGTGAGCGCGCTGCCCGTTGACTGGGTGAGACATGTGAATGAACCTTAGGGGCATGAACTTCGGCGGCGCAACGGGTTTGTATGCGCCCCCCCACACGTCCGAAACGGTGGATCACAATTGGTCTGAGAGCAATGAACAGCTGGAACATAAACCCACGACCGAAACTATGTCTGTGATACTAACGTCGTCGGCATGCGTTCTTGTGTTCGACAGAATATCTCATCAGACATTCGTGACCGAGTTTTGGGCGCCTTCGGTAACGGTGATGACTGGCAGCTGGTGGCAACTGTGAACAACGTCAAATATCAAACAGCCTACTCCTGGATTCGTCGTTCTCTTGATCAGGAGCCGAGTACAATGCAGGCGCGCGGTTGTAAGCGGATTCTGTCGGAGGAAGACGTAGATGACATTCAGGATTGGATCGCAAGGGACGCAACTCTTACGCTACGGGAAATGCGAGTACGAGTACGAGCAGAAATGGACAAGGACATTTCGAAGTCAACAATCGCACGGCACCTGGATGGTCGATTGATAACTATGAAGAACATCTATCAGGTTCCCGAGGGAATGAACAATGAGCGAACCAAAGGGATACGCAGGGAATTTGTTCAGCAGTTTCTCCAACTTGAGAGCGATGGCAAGTTCTTCATTTGGGCTGACGAAGCGAACTTCAACGTTTACTGCAAACGTACTCGTGGTCGGGCGTCCAGAGGAGTGAGGGCCTGTTGCAAAGTTGCCAACAGTAGAGGCCTCAATTTACATTTGATCGGTGCACTCACAATGGAAGGGAAAGTGTCGATGACCACCCGGAGAGGCTCATTCACAGGTCCCCTATCTCTCGAATGGCTGCGAAGCTATTTAGACAACCTGAAACGGGAGATGGAGCTCCGGCAGGTTGTCGTGGTATGTGATAATGCACCATGTCACACACGACTGGAAGAACTGTCGTCAGTAGATGGATAGGAGGGAGTAACCATACTGAGATTGAGCCCACACTCTCCGTTCCTCAATCCGATCGAGAATGTTTGGCAGGTGGTGAAGGCCAGAGTGAAGAATGAGATGAGAGTGCACTAAGAGGAACTTCTGGCCGGGGATCCCCAGAAACTCATGACGCAGATGGAATGGAGGCTGCAGTTCCTTGAACGCATTGCCGAGCAGCCACCAAGGATATCAGCGTTGTGGGATTTCGTAATGCTATTCGACATATGCGTGTACATTTTCCTAATTGTCTAGCAAACATGACATGTTTTGATCACGTTGCTGGCCTATTTTTTACGTATCTGGCTGTATAGGACGTCGCTGGCAGCGCGTAGGGAAGTGTGGCATCAGATCTCAAAACTGATGCAACGACTAATGATCAATTGATAGTACTAGGTTTGAATTTTCGTTTATCTCCCACGTTGAGCCAGTCCAGACTAACACTGAGTCAACTTGTCCACCGCTGGACCGGGTTAAACTACGGTCAAATGTTGCAACCGAAATAATGACAAAACTGCACACGTCGCTAATGGAGACACTGTGTCCTGTGTGCGGTGTAGACAATTGTCGGTACTCGTGTAAATGCAACAACATATTCACAGTGAACCCAAGGATCAAGGGTGCGAGCTAGGGAATGCACCACATAGTGAATGTGAACGGCAGTATTATTATTTACGTATCCTTGTGCGTCGAAGATATCTTCAGAGTGGGTAGTTTATAGCGTTCCGATGTTCGCACGGCTGCAGTTTGAAAACCCTAATTGTGAGAAATTTGCGGTTTCGCAAGCTACATTTCCTGAGCTCAGATAGATGGTAGTAATGACTTTAAAATTCCGCTTGTCTGTATCTGATGTTCTGTCAGTACCACGTTTAACAACGTAGAATCATTTCGACAAGCGCTATAAAAGTTGAAGTAACGGATTCTTGCGCACCCAAGTCGTGTTGAGAGATATATGTGCCGTACATAATCCGGCTGCTTGGCAGTATTTCGCACTTGCACGACAGGCAATGACATTTGTCACAAATGGCACCAGGATTCAAGCGATGATCAGTTATCGTGACACTTGATCATCCTGTCCACGGTATTGGCTCAGTGTAACACTTAGTCAACGAGATAGTCAATTTTTTCGACGGACGGGGGTTTCAGACACTGGGTGAGCACCGAGAAGACATCCAGGATGACAAAGCAGGCCAGGAAAATAGATTCGAACCGGTGACCTTATGATTGCAAGCCAGGCGTGCAGACCACTCGGCCACCAGGCTTCCCGGTCTCTTTTCAGGTTAGCAAGCAGTTTCGCCCTGAAATCTTTGCGAGTCTCCTTGTGTTCGCTATCAGCCGGAACACGTTGGCAAGCATCTATAAGTTCCTGAGACTGCGTAGTGACCCAATGTCCAGGTTGGCGATTTGATTTGCCACATTAAGACATACCCGCTGCTAACAAAGTCTGCCGGATTTTCGACCAGTGATGTTCAATTGCGTTCGATGAGCGCTTATTCAGCTCGGATGCCAGCGTCTTCAAGTAGTGCACGAAAAGTGTGCCTGTACATTTTGAACACGAGTATTTTAACAATTCAAATAGCTGCATTCACGACAGCACTCTAAAATTAAATCTGTGATTGTTGTTATGTGAAACGAAATATTGAATGGCAATTTCAATTGTGAGGCATTAAAACTACGAGAGCGGCAGCAAGTGTATGTCAGCACCGGACAGAAAAGGTAGTTGCTACGCCACTGTATTCGGGCCAACTACACCCCATTTGTTTACGCACGCTATTGGGTCAAACGAGGTATCATCCCAACGATCAAGACAGCATCCAAGTCGTACTGGACAGCTATTCGGGCCTTTCTGGCACGCAAATTAAATTGGGCTTACTGTAGGAATGGTTGCATTTAAATCTAAAGTACAGCTTCCGAACCGGCTGATATGGATTCCGAACTTGACAGACCAACTTCCAATCCGGTAACGAATTAACACGCCAGTTCACTCAAATACAGCGGACAAACATTGCACAGAGACGGTTACCATTAGACACATGATTCATTCGTTCAGCTTCAATGACGACATCTTGTCTGGCAATGGACGCGTTTGCGAACTCACATCTGCGCATCTGTCAGTTCCTCTCACTCTTGGAAAAGCCTGACATGACGTGCGCAGTAATTTCGTATTCACTACTATTCAATTATCCACGCTGATATCCCATACTGTGATACATCTGACGGTTGCTTCACCCGGCAAGCTAACTTGGTCCTACAATGCGCTTTCCAAACATCCTAGTTTTCCGAACAAAGAGACTATATCTACCTTATCTCAGACAGCTCATGAAAGAGTACGGCGCAGCGAATACCAGCACGAAAAGGACCGTAAGTTGAACATATCACTCGGACATGGCCCACTGAAAGCCGGTCCCGTGTCACTTCCTTGCGCTAGACATCAGATATCCCTTCAACCCCCGTACGTACACACAAACGTATTTATGTGCATACTTATTTCGAGAACACTCTGAATACTCACACGTTCCTGCGCGCTTCCATTGACGTGTTATACAACGACATACGTAAATTTAGGCCAGTAATATGATTAAAAATTGTCACTTTTTCCAGACAATTTGGAAATTGTACATGCATATGCCGAATAACATTGCGACATCCCGCAAAGCTGATATCCTTTGTGGTTGCCCTGGCAACGCGTTCAAGTTACTGCAGCCTCCATTCCATCAGCGTCGTTAGTTTCTTGTGATCCCTGGCCAGAAGTTCCTCCTGGTGCACTCTCATCTCAGTCTTCACTTTGGCCTTCATCTCCTGCCAAACACTCTCGATCGGTATAAGGAACGGAGAGTTTGGGCTCCTTCTCAGAATGCTTACTGCCTCGTATCCATCTATTGAAAACAGTTCTTCCAGTCTCTGTGACATGGTGCATTACCACATACCATGACAACCTGCCGGAGCTCCATCTCCCGTTTCAGATTCTCTAAATAGCTTCGCAGCCATTCGAGAGATAGGGGACCTGTGAATCAGCCTCTCCTGGTAGTCATCGACATTTTCCCTTCCATTGTGAGTGCACCGATCAAGTGCGAATCGAAGCCTCTACTGTTGGCAACTTTGCAACTGGCCCTCACTCCTCTGGGCGCCCGACCACGAGTACATTTGCATTAAAGGTTGAAGTTCGCTTCGTCAATCCAAATAAAGAACGCCATCGCTCTCAAGTTAGGGAAACTGCTGAACGAATTCCCTGCGTATTCGTTTGGTTCGCTTATTGTTCCTTCCCTCGGGAACCTGATAGTTGTTCTTCATAGTTATCAATCAACCATCCAGGTGCCGTGCGATGGTTGACTTTGAAATGTCCTTGTCCATTTCTGCTCGTATTCGCACTTCCCGTAGCGTAAGAGTTGAGTCCCTTGCGATCCAATCCAGGATGTCATCTACGTCTTCCTCCGACAGAATCCGCTTACGACCGCGCGCCTGCGTAGTACTCGGCTCCTGATCAAGAGAACGACGAATCCAGGAGTAGTCTGTTTGATATTTGACGTTGTTCACAGTTGCCACAAGCTGCCAGTCATCACCGTTGACGAAGGCGCCCAAAACTCGGTCACGAACGTCTGATGAGATACTCTGTCGAACGCGAGAAGGCATGCCGACGACGTTAATATCACAGACATGGTTTCGGTCGTGCGCTTATGTTCCAGCTGTTCATTGCTCTCAAACCAATTGTGATCCACCGTTTCGGACGTGAGGGGGCGCAAACAAGCCCGTTGCACCGCCGAAGTGCATGCCTCTAAGGTTCATTCACAAGTCTCACCCAGTCAACGGGCAGCGCGCTCACCTCCCCAGACTAACGCACCGAACCTTGGCATCCGGCCAATGGGAACACATTTAAAGTGAGAAGATTGACTCAGATTGGCTGGCGAATTGCGCAAGGTTTTGCAACATTTTGAAGTTTGCAAACATTTGAACTTTCTTTGCAAAATGTTGCGCATTCTTTGCTAAATTTTGGACCTGTTATGCAACTTTGCACAATATGCTATATATATATTCTTTATTGCTTTGAATTTAATTCATTAATTTCACTACATTTTGTGCACTAGATTCATCAATCTCCCGAGCTGTGCTCAGCTTTTTCACTATAGCTTCTCATCGGTTTACTGGAAACGGTTTTTGGTACTCGCGCTGTCTGAGTCGCCCTACGCAGATAGTATTTCAGAGGTAAAGCCGGAGTAAGCGTCAGAAATTTTGCGAGATTTGCGAGCTATGTGTTACTAACAAATAAATGCATTGCAATTCCTTGTCGTAGAACCAACAACGGATCCTTCCCGATCACTGGACACTGGATTGAACCTGATAAACACTTTGTTGAACCTTATGCTTTTTATGAAGTGTTTAGAACCAACTTTGCTGTCTATATAACTGTTGCATATGACTCTATGCGTTTGGGCCATGAATCGATAAGGACCAGAAGCTTATGTAATATTCGAAAGTTTCTCAGCAGCATTCGACAACTAAAAGCGTTGTCACAAGTTCTACCAGGATGGACTCTGACGATATCCTTTCGTCAGCCATTGGAATGAATGCACCTGACTTATCATTACTTTTATTAAGTATGTTTCTAGCAAGAAACCAACTGCTAGCTTGACCACTGCAAAAAATGCATATAATCTCATGTCTCTATATCGAACCCAAACAAATACCTGCCAATCACCGGCCGATATAGCAACCAAATTGCAACACACCAAATTACCAATGGTTTCATTTATGGAACTGTTAGCAGGGCCTATGGTATTCCCTAATTTCTACGAACAATGTTGGCAAATACAGCAAAAATCCCATCTTCTTTATCTGCTAACTACTTTACTATTACCTGCAGGCTCCTACGCTAGTAGATTTAATTTACACCGTCTTGACAGCGAAAGGTTTTGTATTTCTTAAGGAATGTTTCGACCAATATTAATGTGTTTATTAATGTTCACATTAAACCTGTATCCTACGGTTGCGGTATTTTTATAGTACCAGCGGAACTGAAAAGGTTATGAATATTTATACAACAGTCTACCTTTTTCCTCGGAATCACGGATGCTTTTTATATTTCCCCTCTCTTTATTATCCCAATATGAAATATTCATCGCTGGATATCCTTTGCCAACAAATGCGACAAATTTATAAAATCTCTGCCAGACTAGAATAATTCAAAACCTTGACTCTTCATTTCTTTGAATACTCTAAGGCAGTAGAATATTAACTGATATACTTCACCACACGTTTGTTTAAGCAGTACGTCACTCAGACGATAGCATAAGTTAGAAACGTCTTCAAATCCACGTGTTTTAGAAATCTGAAGCGAAAATTGACACCTGTTCACAACTTCTTACATGCAGCTCGTTTCCCTTTGCCTTATTTGTTATGGAAACCTATACACACGAACGATTACACAACAGTTGAAAAATTGTAAGCATGGCAATAATAATCATGCGCGGCAGAGTTTTCTTTGTCAGATCTTCCGCTGTACTAAACAGCTCGACAAGCACAATATTAGCAGATAAATAAGCTGAATCATTCCACATGCAAATATATAACTTCAATAATATTGTTGTGGTATTCTCTGTGTTCTCGTTCAAAATGTACCTAATAAAGATATCAGGATGTTCCAGAATTGTCCGAAATGCTAAAAGTAGCCTTCAATTTACACTCATGCAATAGTCTGGAAAATTTGGTACACAGTGAGCTGCTCCCATTTTGGAAACAATTTTGCAGTTATCACTGTTAGTAACACTTACGAATGCCTCAGCTTTAATAACTGTTAGAACAAGTCAAACGCTAGTAGTTGGTTATCACGCCATCAACAAGATGAAATAATGCAATGCACCCAAGTGAATTGGCAAGACTTAACTATGCATGCCATTTATTGAGGAAAAGGACCAACACATTTAGATTAATTATACCTGTACCATTTCAAGTCATATCACCAATTGTTCTAACGCATAATAATTAGTATTTTGCTTACAATCACTGTGAATTTGCATGTTGCAGAATTTTATCAAATGTTTATTATTTTTGTAGGACGTTTGGACACATCTTGTACTACCACGTTTCAGAGTTCCGAAAACCGCACTTTTATTGAGAAGGTGAACTCATCCAATTTTGCGAACAAAAGCTTTTGCAATTACTTCATTCAAGTTGACCAAGGAAAGCAAGTAAACCTGTCTTTCACAGGTGTCCAGGTAAGTGAGAGTGAGAATTTAAGCACAGTTTTACTGGAGAGGAAACACAACAGACATACGAGGTATGTTAAGGCAGTAGTGGGTTAAATATGTTACTACTACGTACTTTATTAGGTTAAAGGTGTGATCAAATGCAGATTTATTATTTTAATTTAAGAAAGTTGTTTGCGGGATAGCAGCATGCTTCTAGTTTATCAGCTGGGCAAAAACATTAAGATGTTCGGTTTCAAAGTAAAGCGATGAACATTGGTTGAGAAAGCAATGTCCATGGGCAATCTTCGTCTGAATTTTTGAAAATGAGGCGTAAACCCAACTCTGTTGAACTACTGCACAGACATGGCTTTTACTGTGTGGATTAGTACTATGTCTGATACATAACTAATATCAGTACAAACATAGAGCTACTGGCAAAATTATTTCTGCTATGGTATCATAAGTTTTACAGAGACCCTAGTCACGGTTAGCCTAAGGAAACCCATTCACAGGTCATTCACCTTTTAGAAGTGACTTTCAATATTACCCAATGGTTCGTACCAATCGTTTGTTGCTCGCAAGCTTTATTAAGTACATTGTTCTTCTGTTCTGGTTCCCTTCATACAGCTGGAGACATACGACTCCTCGTTTACTGACTATGTTGTAATATTTGACGGTGCTGACTGCATGTCTCAAAGAATCGGAGTTGTGTACGACCAACATACATCAAACTTTACATCATCGGGTAACCAAATGACGGCGTTGTTAATGGTGAATAACCACGTATATCCAGTTGGATTCCATGCCAAATATGACGAAGGTGATTTGTACTGTAACAATTATGCGTTTTTGATACTGGTAACTGAAATATTGCCCTATATGTTAGGCTCAGCCAAAGCTGTTAGCGAATTTACTATAATTGCATCTGTCTTTATGTTTGTGTGAGGATATTAGTGATTGATTATTTCTTACATTCCAAGCGTATACTACTACTGCTATTATCCTGATAATATTTACTCAAATCATTAGAGACGCCTTATAATTTGTTCTCTTTTTTGTCCATTGCCTAGACAACACTAATTGAGGTTTGACACTGAAGCACTGTTACACCGTTGCTGCTTAGTCATCCTTAATCTGTCAAATATTTGGACTAAAAGCAGTTTGCAAGATAGCAATGCTTTAGTATGCAAGAGAGCGTGGGTTTACATAAAATACTAGGTAAATATGGAGACTTATCGTGATTTCTTTATTTTTCTTTTTCAAAGTAAACCGCGATGGTGAAAAAATTTCACGCCCATCAGTTTTATTTTGTAGCATGTGATCTTTGGGCATGTTGTTTGGAAAGGTGACATTTTATTAATCGTGTGTATCACTAGACCGAATCTTACTTTCGTATCAATAAGTTTCTCGAAAATTATTATTGTACTTTATCTTAGTTGCTCTTGTTGTGCAACCAGGTAACACGCAAGTATATAGCAGTTCGAGAAATAAAGGTTTCGACACTTTCGAATAACGTTCTGCTTTCGCTACTTGTATGCTACATGTATGCTACATGTATGCTTGCATTTCATTTAACGTTTTGGATATAGCAGTTTACTTAATATCGCCCCGTAACCATAGGATATATGTTTGTTAGACATGAGTAATATCCAATTTTTAAGCTTAAGGAGTTTAATACTACCAAATTAACAAAGACCTGCATGCGCAGAAAGTAAAAGCGAATATCACCTATTAATGTATTAGATGGTTCAGTGGGTATGCGATAAAATGGAGACTATAATAAAAATAAGCACAGTATTTCTACTAGCTAAGTAGTGTCTGCCTAAGATCTGTGCAAAGCTTTTCGAATCATGCGTGTGGCGCAAAAAGAGAAACAAAAAACAAGTAAGAAAGATTAGTTCCTGAGAGAGAGGTGGAAACACTCACTAGTAAGGGAAGGGATTATTACATTTTCCCGTTGTAGAAATTACGTATAACTTTTCCAGGATTCATGAAAGAAACAAATTTATATTGCTTGTCATTGTTTGTATATGTCAGGTAGCGAAGATAGATCTAATTATATATGCATTCACTTTTTCTATAATAAATCATGCACCACTCATTAGGTACCGATTATGCTATATAAAAAATAAATAGTGATGCTATCGAATTCGAAACTAATACACCAACTCATACTTTTCAACGCATTTCCCCACCAAATTACAGTTACCGGACATGGTGAGTGTAAAATCTTTTGCAATAAGTTTCACATGACAAGTTTTCCCAACACAGACTTCCTTCAGCCAAAATTGTGGCATATCTACAATACCGCTGCAAACTCACCCGAAACTCTCACATTTGATTACCGGATTGTTTGAAACATAAACTAAAGTGGTAATGGTATAGCTACGGTTTTGCTGCTCGGCTTCGAAGGCCAATTTTGCTGAACATATTTTAAATGAAACTCTTTATCTTCATACTTACAGGACCTACAAAACCAAGCCCACCCAGCAGTAAGCTTTTGGAAGGACAATTATTCACTGCTCTTATCACCTGTGATTGATTCATTAGCAGCGTTTTTGAAAATGTGCAATTCAGGTACTTCATACAAATGCCCTATGCACAAACCATACCTTACTAAACAGCATGCAATTCTTTTCAGCAGGCAACCGCATACTCGGTAAGTAACCACGGATTCCGGCAATCATTCGGAAACTGCATTTTTAATTGTTAATCTTTGTGTGTCATGTACGTTTAATCCTCGTTCTATAACATGCAACCATGATAAAGTAAGCACATAATGTGTACTCTGGTTTAAAACAATAACCGCTGAATAACCGACAAAACAACAGGCGTTAGTAAACAATCGCTTTGCTTTGTCCAAACCAATTGCAATTGCCACTCTGACAGGGGTAGTTATAAACTGCTCCATTTAATGCCAATACGTATTCATCGATGATGAAATGCAGAACTCCCTCTAGCCATTGTAATAATTGAGGTTGATGCTGACTCGTCATCACACCTGGTAGCTTCACTAGAACATACGAATCAGAATTACATGCCAGTTATCGCTGTTCTCCCATCACTTCAGTCTCATCTGTTTGTTTCTGTTAACTTTATATGTGTTACTCATTGGTCACACTACGCATTTTGCGTTCGATCGTAATCTTAATGGAAGCATGAAATCACTTTATCATATGACAGAAGGTTATTGAATAACTATATCGGACTATTCTAACAACACTATGTTCAGTCCCGTTAATTTCAGAAAAGTAGCCAATGGAAGCTTAATCCCTGATATTGGATACTATCTTCATCTTTCATTGTAAAATGTCAAATTTCGATCAACCAGCATTGTTAAGTCAAGTATGCATGCGACAGAGTCCATTTAACATCAGTTTAACTTGGCTTTTGTTGATGGATCAAAGTTCATTTAGTTAATAGCTTACGGACTTGTTCCCTCTTGTTAAAAAACTATTTGGTAGACATGCCATGTAGAAAAGCAAGCATGTAAATCTATATACTAATTTCTTCGTCAGTAGCTTGAATATTCGGACCATTTTTAACTAATACGCATAATCTGATAAGGCTTTCATCCCAACAGTTCACAAGCTACATAGCAGAGCCTAGTCCGGAAAAGCGCCAGACGCGTTTCGCCCTATTGGGGCTCGTCAGTGGAGCGCATTCCCTCGGTCCTCTAATGAGGATCGAACCCATGACCGCTAGAGGCAGATGCCAACTAGCCAGCAGCTTAAGCCACTGAGCCATGGGGGACGTTGGCTGGGCTACATAATTTGCAAACTAGCTGGGATATAGCACCACCTATCTACCACTGTCACTGACAGTGGTTAGCCTGCAAGGTGATGACGTCCTCTCGCTAGACGCTAAATCCATAGCATTTGAAACTAGGAGAGGCTTTTTGATTTTATAGTACTCATTAGTAGCAGGATTTTAGTTGTAAATCTGATAAGGCTTTCATCCCAACAGTTCACAAGCTACATAGCAGAGCCTAGTCCGGAAAAGCGCCAGACGCGTTTCGCCCTATTGGGGCTCGTCAGTGGCGCGCATTCCCTCGGTCCTCTAATGAGGATCGAACCCATGACCGCTGTTGGGATGAAAGCCTTATTAGATTTACAACTAAAATCCTGCTACTAATGAGTACTATAATACGCATAATGTTTGCTTGACTGTAATCACTATCACGATTTCTATCTAACTTTAAGCCTTTATTTTAAACTTGAGTTATTTGGCTTATCACTGCAAAACTGTTGCGTACAACAGGCAACTTTTCAGTTCCGTCTGTGTTAAGGATGAATATACCCTATACATAAGCGTGCTGCATGCACAATCACTTTGGTTTCATCCAGAGCACACTAAAAAAGTGCAACTATTTTCCCATGTAATGATTATAACGATTATAATGATTATGATCCTGCACCGATAATCTTTAACAGGCATCTTGCTTTTAATACCACCCTCAGATTCCAAAATACCCCGTTTGGCAAACAGATAGGTCAACCCTCAATTTCGAAATAAACACAGCTGGGGACAATTATCCCAAATCGCAACATCTTTAATATAACCTGCCCAAAGTAAAACCAAAGCCAAACTATAGCGTTGTTTTTGAGTTAGACTTTGCCTTACGGACTTTATACTAGTCAAATCACGAATGCAAGATTATTTTTGTCAAAAGTTGATATAGAAGAAGTAAAATATGTAGCATAATGAATTTATTTAAAACATTATATGACGTTATATAATTGCATAATTAAAATTGCAAATTTAGATATACGCATTGATTAATGCTATTCAGGGTCTCTTTGATTATGGATGTAGTTTATTCGTGTCCAGGTGTCATTAGACACATGCATTGTCCATACCACTAGATGTATCTTTCAAACTCCTAGAGTGTCTCGGAACAGGTTTGGCCAGATAAATAAGTCATTCAGTGGTCAATAAAGGTGTCTATGACATGACCAGGTAAATCCACAAACCTAGGATATTTGCTGTCAGTGAATTAACCACAAAACGAGCATGTGAGCCTACCGAGTAAATCACATACCAATTTTGAATGGTATGGTTCCAAAACCTTGTCACATTTGTGACCCACAGCAATTAAATGCCTTCTCTAATTACGTAAATTCCGTCCCCATATTTTCCGCGTTAATATAAAGCCACAATTGTTTTCAAGCCCAAATGCATTAAAAATATACCTAGTGCACATAGGCAGACGGACTATTATGACTACGTGGCGTTTATGTTAACAAAGGGGTCGGTTGCATTCGTTCGTATCATGGTGGGTTGTCAATGTGGAGTCAATTAAAATGGCTTCTAAACATATGGGTAGATATATTTTTAACCATTACCAATAAATTGCAATTAGGGTACTATATGAAATAAATAAATACTATCAAAACATACGTACGAACAAGCTGAAGGGTAACACACAAGCAGACCACAATGCACATAATGCTGATTTTCTTTTTGGATACATTTAGTCGACAAAAGTAGGGTATAAGGCAATGTTACCATAAAGAAGTTAGAAAAAGTAAAACTGCATTTAAAGCATGTAAAATATCAGATAGCAACTTTGATATTGCTTAGTGTGTAAGGCGGAAAGAGCCGATTGTTAATAGTAAATTGGTTGACATAGATGATAACACTGCGCGATCAGGCGGCTTTCCAGGGCTGTCAAACCTAACCAGAAGGAATCCAGAGAGCTGTAATACCTTGTAGTCACGTCAAAATATAACCAGATTTTTGATGAATTATAATGCTTTTATTTTACACCACACAAGGGCAGTAATTTCAGAAGCATTACGTACTATAGAACGCATACTGCTAGCGAGTATTAAGGGAAAGGTGTTTTATTAACGGGATTTATTTTGAGCCCAGCATTTCAGCCAGCAAAGCTCCATGTTAAAATTCGTTTGATGTCGTTTCTTACTTTGTAATTCCATACGACATAAGGCGGATTTGCGCAGCGAACGGAAGCGATTTCATGCTTCGAACGAGTGCAATAATATTGGCGTCGTAATAATGATGCAGATAAAGAAAACTGCAAGAACAGCAAGACAAAATTGATAAATCAGCACTAGAAATCGGAAAATAGTTCTTTAATGAAAAAAAGCAGCGAACAACTTATATGACCGTAGACTCAACAATCATGCATCACTTACAGTTTGTCTTTCCTTATTTTTTGGAATAAGCATTATTGGCAACAGCAAGGAAATTCTCACGCGCTAGCGGTTTACTCAGTGAGGTAATAAATTGAGGTTTCTTTTTTCCATGAACTTATATGGTGAGTGGGATATTAACATAGCAACGATTTCCTACCGGTGTTATATAAGTTGCTAACATTTGTTTGACGAGAAGACAGTTTGCTAAATATTTTGTATCTCACCGGGTTAAGAATTTATGAACAAGCTTAATGGCAGCAATGTTAGACGCTGTAGGAAAGCAGACAGGTTTGTTCAGCTAATACATTATATTTCTTCATTCCATTAACATTATATTGGTCCTTTAATGGTTCCGCATGATTGGCAGATGAATAGCTAAAGCAAATACGCTTTAAATAGAATAAAATACGAACTACTATAGGTACGATACTCCTAGTTTCTTCTTAATTACAGGTTATGATTCCCCAATAATAGTTCATGATATGTCATCGTTTCCATGCGATTATGACGATTGCATTACATCGCAAAACAGTACAAGTAATTACGCAATATTTCTTGCAGAAAACTGTGGAAGAAATCTAACAGGAGCGTCTGGTCGACTATCTTTTAATGGAAGCGAAGTTCCCAACGTGCTGTGCATATGGAAGATAACCGTCAAAGCCAAAAAAGTTGTATTTCTTGAAATCGAAAAGCTTACGGTAATTATTCGGCGCCTATTATAAATTATTCTGGATTCATAAAATTGTGGACAAAGGGCACGCACAATGTCCCAGCTAGTCTTGAGATAACATAACAAAATAACACTAATCTGCTTGAACCGTTGTTGAGTTTTACCGACTTCTTCAAATCCTTTTGGTATGTATGATAAACACGGGTTTTTAAGGACATCAATCATTTAGAGCCGGTGTTTGTTTTGCCTTGATCTAAGTGTAAAGTCCATTAATAATTCATTAATATAATCATACATGCTTTCTTACGTTTATAAATCAGTTTCAAACAACCATTTAAAACTCGTTCAACTAATTTGTTAACTATAAATATTTTTCAGTTGGAATCATCTTTTTCCTCTTTTCGGGTGCTGGATGGGAGTACATGTGCAGCCAGAGAGATTTATCGCATGTGGGGTTACGAAGACTTCGAACCAACCAGTGTCCTTTCGTCCTCGAACATTATGACGGTCGTATTTGCTTCACCGCCGGGAATAGTAAGAGAAAAGGTGATGGCTTCATATAAGAGTGGTAAGTATAAAAATTAATGACTTGTCCGAGAATGGAAACCTTTGTTGTCAGAAGACTAAGTAGTGCACTGTCAATTATTAACCTGTGCCTCACTTGAAGGAATGTGTTTGGGAGCCACCTTTAGAATCACTGTGAAAGTAGAAATTTCTGTAATAGCATAGTAGTTGACATGCCCATTGTTTCCGACCAACCATGTGGTTGTTCACTAAACTGAAGCGAAAGATACGTACAACAGTTAGGCTTTAGCCACTCGTCCATTCAAGATGCGCTTTGCGTCAGCTGCGAACTTCATATTGATCCGCCCACTACTGATTTACCTCCCTGATAACTCACTATATTTTATGTGTTTGGCAAAACACACATGAAAATGTACGAAGGTAAAGCAAAAGACCTTCATAAGGTGCAATTCGTGAGATATTACTTAAACGCTAAGTAACTGTAAATTTCCTTGTTTTAAGTAAATAATAAATAATCGGTTCTCCCACCATTAATGCGATACTAGATAGAGATAAACTTGATAATTTTTGCTGCCGTCGTCGTGAAATACAATGTGTGTATACTACTCTGTGCTATGTTCTACTAACGAAAAGCAAGTCTGCGCACGATGTTTACTTTTCATCCGTGGAACATGTTAACCGTAATTAATTAAGTGCCTGGAAATTTACATTATACCTATTTTTCTAACTCTAACCATATATATAATGACTCATCTTTAAATGTACCAAGCAAAACATAAACAAAATCAGTTGTTTGGTTTGCAGTCAGAATATTAGTATACAGTTTTTGCCTGTTTACGTGCATTCTGCTCATGTAATTCCTTGCAATGTATGCACAAGATATCGATCACTGCGCCCATTGCTGTGATCAAAATGAGTTTCTACACGGTAGCGCTATGAACTCTGTACATAAAATGATAGCAACCGTTAAAAATAATATCTATACAGTCATTTGCGATCTTCCTGTTTCTACAGCTTTGGTGCGTACTTTATTTGCTGAAATGTTTGATAAAATGAAAATCACACATGGTGCTGCATTAAGATAAAAAGTGTGTGTACCCAGTTGTTTTTAGTGACTTTGGTAAGTATATTAACTGCATACTTTTTGCACACGGATGGATGTGGATTATAGTGTATTTCTATTTAGTTGATTTGTGATATGCACTTTAACAGAGCTATGCATCCTACTTTCCTCATCGAAACTTCACAGTTTACAGGCATTTATCCACTATGGGGAAATCGTGGTATCATCAGTTTTGCTAATACTTGGCGTGCTTACTAAAGACGTAAAGGAAAATTGACCAGCTTGTCTACACGGTTTCATATATTTTAATTAAAGGATGTACGTGTTGTAGACGCACCACCATTATCCATATTTGTTTATCTTTCTGCGTAAAAAGTATACGTGCACCTATTTGAACGAATTGTGCTGAAGTTCTAGTTATGTGAGTAGGTTGCGGTAATCATTGTTAACATGACCGCCATTCATCTGAAAATGAGCGGTGATCATAGCTGTCAATGAGACAGGGCTGGCTACATACGAATTAGGTCTTACCCTTTCACAAGCCTATAATACTCATTTGTATCCCAACATTATAAGAATACCTTCCGCTTTCCATGGTTTGAACTATTTCAGCTGTGAAAACTTTAACAGAGATGTATTAAATTTTATTGCGCTCTAATAAATGAATTATTTTCCTCTTACGTTGTTGACGCAATGTGATGCCACGTATGAGAACGCATTCCCGGACGATTCATAGAGTGAGACACATAAATAACCGTATCGCCGTAAAAATCACATGTTAGACTGTTATCATTTTAGCTATCAAGCAGGGTACGGTAAATATAATATCAACTTTGCGAAATTCGGTCATTTTTAAATTAACATATCTTTCATAAAAGCAATAAAAGTGCTAGTATTTCTGGTATCCAACGATCCTATGAAGTCAATCGTCTACCGTATTCCAAGTCATTCGTTCATAGTAGATTACGAAGTTCAACGAAAGTTGACTTTTTAGAGTAGCAAACTTCCAACCTGCTCTTACCTGATTCACAAACTGTAAGTTAAGATTAAAAATTAAGCAACAATTTTATTTAATTAGAATAGCACGGCGGAATGCTCACATGATTACGCCAATTGCGCCAGCGTCACCCAAATGTTTTTACAGGTAAGATAAATATAAACAAGGGGGCGAACTGCAGTTCAGGAATCAAAATGGATTGAAGTGTGACCGTACTGCAGTTTGTTATAATGATCAAAATGCGCCAACATATTTTCACAATTCTTGCTAATCTACAACTTTAACTAACTATGTTTACTTAACAATTGAGTAAATTTTCCTGCATTCAACCGCATAATAAAAGGAACATATCACAGTTACTTAGGCTGCAAAACGCTGTCATGCGATGTTTACTCCAGATTGCACCTTGTTTGCAAACATGCCAGCAAGTACCTAGCAGAAATGAAGCTAAGTCTAAACAATATTCAGTCAGGAATCATGTTTCTTAAATAAATGAAAGAACCCGTTGCTTAATATATGTGATTATGCGAACTTTTGTTGGTCGCATTGGCATCGGCTTCTGCACGAACGGTACTAATAAACATTGATACGCCACTTACTGCGGGAAGTGTGAAGAACAACTTGGTATCTGTGATTTTTCACTGCTTCGTGACCATTTTATTTAATCGTTTACCCCTTCCGATTATTTTACTATTTAAGTTGAACCGAATTTCACTACGACCACTACCACAACAACTGTGCCGCCGACCACAGAAAGGGCCCGTTCCACTCCAGGATTGGGTGAGTTCAGATGAAGATAGCTTCTACTAAATGTCTAGTTAGGTAGCCTACTGCAAGTATATGACTTGAGACAACGAAGATTTTAGACACCAGCCCAATCAGCTGATAAAACTTCGATACCAAATAAGCTGATGAACACCATTTGCATAAACGTCTGGTAGAAAATCGTGACAACTAATCTACCTCCGTTGTTAAATATAGGTACGATGTTTGTAGCTTGTAGAACGCCCACTTATGATGTTAATCTGATAAAAAAACAAGGCTTAAGCTAACAATTATATTCGACTTTCTTCGTTCTTAGGTATATATTAAAATATATCATAGGATAAGATAGGTTGCATTAAAAGACAACCGTAAATTAATTGATAGAGTTGTTTTAATAGATATTATTGATAACCAGATTAGCCTATGCTTGAAGTAAACAGGTTTTACAAGGTGTAGCCATTTTCTTCCCGAGTGACGATCGGCTAAAATAATTGCAACGACTGTACTATTTACCTTGAACACATGGGTCTGTGATTGTTATAGTACGTATAATGTTTTCGCAGTGGTAAGTAAGCTTGTTTTTACTCGATGGTGGTTTTCAGTTAGTATGCTGTAATCAACATTAAATGAAAATTATTTGTCTAGCGACCGTAGTTGAATATATAGTTTTCAATAGCACTGTAACTTTTCCAATTTTTGCAGCTGTAGAGTCGTTATAGAGCATTACTGGATTCTCTTAGCTATGTACTTGGTCGTTCAGCTTTGTACCGACCAGCTCGTGAGCGGTCTGTGATGATCAAAACTGCTGCCTATTTCTGATAAACAAACAGTGTGGGATATTCATACTCCAAGCAATATTATCCATGCAAAGTAATAGCGTGCAGTGCGAAACCAAACAGGTTCGGTGCATACAGTTGCGTTCATATTTCTTCACTTGGAATTCCAGGTTACGAAAATATTGCCGGGACCTTTGAATTCTTTTAAGTACTGATGCACACAATTTTTCACTGCCAATCTTCCGGACGCAAATAATCTTTCGATTTACGATCTTAATTCCTAAAGATCTACATGGCTGCATGTTGCATAGAGAAAGCGTCTTTAACAAATAAGATATAAACGAGCACGTCCTTCTGGTAACAAGCATGTACCTGAAACGATGTAATGTTCCGAGACAGGAAGAATAAGTATGCTTACTTGATGTGTTGCGAATGTGTGCTGAATTACCCTCACAACCTTGTGTAAATATCTCAAATATTGCCTGTGAAGAAACTCAATGTTATACAACTCGATAAGTCTGATTGGCATAATATTTCTACGAGACTGAACATTTTTGCAATGGAATTATCTGTGCTTAACATTTTTCAGTACTATTTATGCCATGACTATACGCCCCTAAATGTTTCGATAGTAGCCATTCCACAGGCTCAAGGACAATGCCTACAGTGGATTGGCAGTTCTAAAAGGATATTAATTTTGAAGAACTTAATATTAACTTCAGTGTAGATTGAGTCGAGTTTTATCACATTTTCAAGTTTGGTCACTTCGACTGCAAGCGCTACTTTAATACTGAAATATTAGCACTGAAAGGTATCAGCAGGGTTTTGAGCTTTAGTGCCATAGTCCTCAGATAGAAAGCATACTTCTAACAATATCCGAAATGATAAAGTGATCTTGCAATAATTTTCCGGAGAGGTGATGCCTTTTATTACTGAGTCCATTTGTGATGAAATTCCGTTTATATTCTTGTTAATTCGCTCTGTACGGATAAGCACAGCCAAACAAGGACGGCTTTTTTGCCACCTAAGTTTAGTGGGTTTTGTGTCAAGGCTACACTTAGAATTATGCAAGATGAATTTAAACATGTCGCCGCACTTATAATCCCTATATTTACTAAAAAATCGGCCGTGCGCCATATGTATGAATGGTTACGCTGAGAACTAGTGAGTTCGAATCAATTGCTATGTTCACACTGCGCTGAAAAATCTGTCCAAATGTTTTATTACGATTTTCATTGTGCTAGCATAATTGCTGTTCCGGAACCTCGTGGAGTCGGCTTTCTCTGTTGTCTAGACAGACTTGTTTTGGGGATGGTGAACTCTGTGCAGCAGCCAACTGATTCAAGCTATCCTGGCAACGATAAAGCAACTAACTATTCAACCATCCACCCTGATATCCCATACCGGCAAACTCAGTTGGTCCAACAAAGCACCTTGCAAACACTGTCCAATACACGCACCTGTACCTCGCTGGTTGCAGGCGAGTGTTTGAACATACGATCTGCGCTCACACCAGGGTTCTAAAGATTTACGGTCATCCAGACGGTCGGCGATGCCCGTATGAGCTTCACTCACATCGTCGTTCACATTGAGGTTTTCGGGTAGACAACTGGAATCTACTTCGTCGTGCGTGTACTACGGAGGGAGAAACAGCGATTACTGAGAAAAGCGTCTTGTCAACATATGAGGTCAGGCATGATAATATATTTCAGCACCAGTCGCATGCTGCCGATGAAGACGAAGCTTTTTCGCTTACCCCTACTACTTTTCCTGATGCTTAAATTGCTTCAACATACCGGTAAGTAAGGCATCCGAAATGATACATGTTAAGAGACATGCTTACTAGGCTGACTTCAAACTCAAGGCCATCAGCCAAGCAGTACAATATGGGAATAGAACAGCTGCGAAACAGTTTAGCCCTAATGAATCAATCGCACGGAAGTGGAGGAAGCAAGAAGATGATCTGCGCCAAGTAAAGGAGACAAAGAAGGTTTTCCGAGGGAACAAAGAAAGATGGCCACACTTAGAGGATAAAATTGAGCAGTAGATTACTGAACATAGAACAGCAGGTAAAACCGTCTCTACCGTCTTCATTCGATGCAAGGCAACAGCGACAGCACGTGGTTTGTTGAACGACTTTCAAGGAAGTCCTTCTTGGTGCTTCCGTTTTACGAAGAATCGTCATCTCTTCATCCGCACAAGAATTACAACCTCGCTGTAATTGCCAAATGATTACAAAGAAAAGTTGGCCATCATCCGCATTATTGCAAGAACAATATCCATGAAGAGATGATCCAGCCAGACCACACCACAAACATGGACGAGGTAACTCTCATCTTTGACATCCCCGTGAAACTTACTGTTGAAAAAGCAATAACGTACACTGGATCTATACGCACCAAAAGGAATAAAATTATCCTTCATTACTGTTCTCGGTTACCAGGCTAATTGCCAGAAACTACCACCCATGGTCAGTTTTAAGGGGAGGACTTTGCCAAAATAAAGCTTTCCTGTTGGGGTCATCGTCAAGATCAACCTAAAAGTCTGGATGGAAGAGGAGAAGATAGAAGAGGAGAGAGCGAGTGGCTGAGAGAAATTTATGTCAAGAGACCAGATGGAATTTTCTACACATCTCCGTCCACATGGAGCACGAGCACCAAAAGTCCAACTAAGTACTGCAGAAAAGCACTTTCTCTACTTATCACTGCGTTTCAACTGGAATTTGATAGCAGGACGAACTACTCGAAGGCTCTGCAATGCCATTGCTAAAACCTAGTTTGAAGTTGACCTCCAAACCAGCTTCACTCCTACACCAGTAGTGAGTCACAATCTCAAGGACAGGATACCGAAGTCGAATATTTGCAGTTGTGTGTACCAGTTTTGTGCTTGTTTCGCGCAAGTTCTATTGGACGGGCCACCAGGCGATTAGCTGAGTGAGTCCAGGAAAATTGCCCGGCGTGGCACTTCACTGGTGTCAGCGCGGTGCTGTGGCATTTGGTCGACTCAAATCACCAAGTAACAATGCGAAAGGTCCCCGCCTATCTACAGCATCTCTGGACCCCACACGCGAGCCCTCTGATGCCACCGCTTAGCGAAAGCGGAGGCAATCATTATTCGGCTCCGTTACCCCAATTTATGTGCTCAAGAGAGGTTTTACAGGATCTACAGCTATTATGACCTCAAGCTGCCCCATGTAGTGACGCCACGCTTAACGCTTCCAATAATGTTACCCTAGCTAGTGTCATCAATTGATCTCATTGATGGTCAATTGATTTCACTGATTCATCGCATTTAAATAGCCTGTGTTAGTTGTACTCCTATTTTCTTTGGGGTATTAGCCTGTTGCGAACCACCTAAAACAAGCTTATTCGTCTGGGCGCCTTTTGCTTCTGATGTCTTCTCTAGGATAATTTTCTCAGTTGAAGTAAGAGATCTAACAATAGCGTTCCGATGGTTGTGGTCACAAAGATCCCCAAAGCTACCGCTGTTACATTTCCGGAAGTCGTATGATGACGAAAGCCAATGGAAGGTACTGTATATTTTGCTTAACGTCAAATTCAAATCCATACACACAGTATCAGTTACTCATCAACTACTGCAAAATTTTGCCAACAAAGACTTATTAGAATGACGAAATAATCCAAATTTAATGTACAAAACCTTTGCTCTATGCAAGCCTCTATAATCACGGACCCCTGCGATATGTATTTAAATCAATGTGCCTTGGAACTCCTATGAGAGGGAAGTAAAAATCTCATTTAAATGCAATCTTCATTCAAGGACCGCCAGAGAAACCTTTCGAAGTTAGTCAATAGACCGAAAATCGCTATTGGGGACAGTGATAGATTATGCATGTAAAGCTCTCCTTGAACCATCTCGAGGCGCGATTGCCCAAAGGACTGCACCACTCACCAGCTTTTATAGGATGCGGTCGCAGAATCTTAAAACATTTGGTTCAATCAAAGGAAAGCTCCACTGAAATTTTGCACCTTAGCTAAAGAAGCAGGTGCGATTTTTCCCTGAACTTGGGTTAAAGGCTCCTAAAGCATTGCAAATTCTAAATATGAACTTGTCCAAAATAGCAAACTTATCGGTGATAACATAGCAGCTTCAGCTGATTAAGAATTTGAATTATTCTAATGTAACTATAAACGAACATTGGGACGCGTCTTGACTGGATCTAGCTACGGATTTGATATCAGTATCCCACCAACAAGAAATGGCCGAATTCATTTCGGT